TGTAATATACATACAAACAAATATTTCAAATACATAAAAATCTTCACAGAAGAGAATATACATTCACACCAAATATACATACTATACCGTATATGAGTTTACGTGTATAATTATTTATAGTATACTGTGAACGAATACATAAATCTATGAATAGATGATACATGCATGCATGCATGCACAAATAGATACATATATTTGTTAGTTTATTCAAACATTGACGAGAATTACCCATTGCTACATAACCGGAATAAATATTGAAAGATAATAAATATACATAGAAATATTAACAATAAATATAAAAAGACAATATAAATATATTTACAAAAAAATTAATGAAGATTTAAATAAAAAATATATATATGTATATATATGTATATAGACGTATCACATATTTAGATATATATATTTTTCACAGAGATACGCGAGGAGACAACGGATGAATGCGACGGCCGTTCGCAAAAGGGAAAAGTGTTCGCCTTCATTGGCGATGCCCAGCGCATCTCTTTATCTGATGGAAAGAAGCCGCCTCTCGAGACTTTTGCCCTCGTGCGAGATCGAGCTTGACTATTCGTGACTCATCGTATATACCCCCATCGAGATCGCATTTAGAAACGTTTCTCGATACTTCGTCCAATCGTAAATTCCCTTTCGATGGTCTCTTTCACGCGATTTCCTTAAAACTAATTCCAATCTTTCACGAAAGATATTGATTTTTCATCGTGCGATTATGAACATTACAAATAGAGATGATGTTTATCGTCTACCGTTTTTTAAAATAAGAAATTTTATTATTTCATATATTAGCACAAATGTTTGCAATTATAATAATAAAATAATTTATGCAATAATTAGGAGAAAATAATTGTAAAATAAGAAGAAGAAAAGAAAAGGAAAGGGGGAGAAAAAAGTAGTGTATTATAATCGTAATCACGGAAATGCATTAAAAGAAGGATAATTGAACGATAGTTCGTTGTTCGTGTTCCACGAACGAGCTCCTGAACTTAATGCGGCATAATCGATGGGCAGAGCGAACCCTCTAATACGAAGCGGCCTCGAAAGCCGATAGTTAGTGGAAAGTGGAGATAAATGTAAAACGTGACGTGCTTTCGAACCGTCGCAGTGTAATTGGGCGCAAAAGTCGGTTACGAAGCGAAGACAACGAGACGAATTCAACGAATCAAACGAAAGGAACGTAGAAATGTCGCTCGTACTCGAAAGTGCGTGTGTCGTTAAAACAGGCCTCGAAATTGGAGAAATTTCTACGCAATAAAACGTTGGGGAAAAAGGAAGGAAGGTAGGAAGGATGGAAGGAAGGAAGGAAGGTCGGGATTAATTGAGAGATTGGAAATCAAAGGTGCCGCTTTGAATGACAGCTGGAGATTGGAATAATACTTTTCAAATGATCAGATATTTTCTAAAAATTCTCGAACAATACTTACACTCACAATTACCTCATCGGGTAATGGAATTTCATCATTTCTGATACGTACATGTAAATGCATATATTGTATTTCGGTTGTTCGAAAAGTTAAATTTATATTTATTTAATGATTTGTCGTTAGAGCTCGAGATAAAAGATAATTTATAAGAAGAACTGCACGGAAGGAGTTAAATATTCTTTGTATAATACTTTGACAGCACACACGTGAAAGCGAAATATGCCTGGGGAGTATTTCGATTTCGAACAATTAAATAATTGTCATGGCCGACCTACTTTATTCTCCTTAGAACGTGTCTCCTTCTTTTTCTTAATCTCTTTTATTTCATCTCATTCTCTTTAAACAAACTCGTTATCCTAACAACAACGCATACCACTGTTCGCAAAAAGTAAAAGCAATTCTTTTCATATACGAGTCTCTATTATTGATAAATACATTTGAAAAAAAATTAAAAATAAGATTAATATATGTGTGGTGCATAATTTTGTGCATAAAATTATGCACTATGCATAAACACCAATCGTGCCCTTTTACGTTATAGGACTAATACGAAATCGTAATTAAGTAATAGTACTAAGAAGTGAAAGTAAGTCGACAATATGAGTTCGCAGATAGTTGTATTAGTACAATACTTACTTACATACGTTTGAAGAGATGGAAAACGCATCTCGTAGGATCTAATTATCGTGGAATGCTTTGTGCTTGCAAGTAGCCGACGCAATCGTTTAAATTTAACGACCGAACGCAAGAAAACCATTCGGGCTGGTGTACGATGTTTTCTTTAGTACAACGATTTAATGCTCTTGATTATGAAACGAACTTTCTTTATCTCGACAATGGACACACAATTCTTTTTTTTATATATTGTATTTAATTATTATATAAAGAATTTAAATACAGTAGACACTTCTATAACACGATGATTACTGTTGCTTCTACGTTACGTGAATTCATGTGTCATACTAATCGTAATATAGAATAGATATTTTTTTGTATTTAAAAATATATATAAAAGAAAATAATTTAATATATAAATAGGAGGATAGATTAGGTGTTAATATTATAATTTGTCTCTTCACTTTCTTCACATAATCATTTGATCATATTTTTTGTTTCAATTGATTTTTAAGCACATTGGTCATAATTTTTCGTATTTGGTTAATTAAAGGAACAAAAAAAATAGAAGTTATGACAATACCTAGTGATTAGATTTAGAAAAATCATTCGTTCGTTTCACTCGTAATCCGTGGAGATACTCTATAATTCAGGAATGTTTTATTAATAATTATAAAACGATCAGCGAGCATAACAGAGTAGAATCTTGCGAAGGTTAAGACGACCGAGTCCAATTCGTAAGAAGAGTGTATATGCATGTACTTAGGTGAATTTAATTCTAGGCTCGTGCGAAAGGATCGTTAAGAGCAAATTATAGCGCGTAAAGGATAAGTACTTAAGACACGTAGCTTCACATTTGTACGTAGAGTTATCCCTCCGTAAAGTTTTAGCAAGAATGAAAGACATACGAGAAAAAATATGGAAAAAATGCGAGTGTATTTTTTTTTCTTGCTCTTTTTTTTTTTCCAACATAGAAACATAAAATTAACCTGAATCCCATATATCGAAATTGCCGTGGATCGTGTACAATATTTAATATGTAAATCTCTATAATTGTATTGTAAAAAAAAAAAGAAAAACGAAAAGAAACATAAGAGAAAGATGATAATTATAATATGTTAGGAAGAAAATTAAGTTTACACTACAAAGTTTCGTTTCTAATTAAATATATTTAATTTTTAGCTTGTACGAAATAAAATAACCTGTTATTTCAAGATAGCTGTAAGAAAAGAGTTGTATGGTTCGCCTGAGTGCAAAGGGTTAAAAAATCAATAAACTCCCGTTTATCTTGAAAACGTATAGAACTTTTCTTTGATTAATAAAAGAAAAGAAAAACAAAGAGAATAGTTTCGGCAAAGACTTCGTACGAATTATTAAAAAGTAGGTCAAGTCCGAATAAAAAGGTAACATTTATGATTGCAATCCGATATCTAATCGATTTCAATCTTGAAATTTCATTTGACGTAAGAGAAAAGAATCCTTGAATGATTTAAAAATAATCTACTCATACATATATCAAAATTTTTATAAGCTCAATACCAGGAAAACGCATTAACACGTATTTGCTTAAGGCTAAGTAGATGGAAGAAGAAGAACTGAACGGAATTGCCGGTGGTGTAACGACCACCAACGTTGAACGTTGAGAAAGAGAGATATGCCGATGGTAAAGAAAGATGGATAGGCAGGATGCACAATAAAAAAAAAAATAAAAATAAATAAAATAAGCAGGAAAAAAGCTAACGCAAGAAAAAGGGGTAAAAAAACGAAGGGAATATCAGGAAGAAAAAATAATGAGATAGAATGAGAAAGAAAGGTAGAAAAAGAATAAAAATAAGAGATAAAAGAAAAGAATATGGTCGAAAAGAGAAGATGAACGTGTCCACGTAGATAGGAATCGAGTGACTGTTTGGTAAAGGAGGTCGAACATCATCTCGAGGTCGACGAAGATGCCAGAAACGAGGTTACCGATCTCTCGTGTAGTCACACGAATACAGGGCTCCCAAGAAAAGTCAGGTCTCGATCCGATCGAGTCTCCTGTCGAGCAGAGAATTTGCTAAGAGATCGGAACAGTGATCGAAACCGCGGGTGGGTGGGTTCCCTTCCCTTCCCTTCCCTCCAGGAAGTATCCTGTCGCGTGTGTGCGGTTTTTCAAAGTGAAACTTTCTTTTCTCTCATCTTATTCTTATTATTTTTCTTCTTTTCTTTCGAATTAATAATAAATTCTTTCTTCGTGAAGAAAAAAGACGGAAGCATCAATTATATTCACGAGGAAGTCGTACAGGGATCCTTTTTTAAGTGATTTTTAATTTCATTTGTTGGCGGTAGCGATTGATGTCTATTAAAATTATGAATCTTGATCAATACGATTGATATCGGGTTTGAGCGAGTGTAAAAACAAACCGTGCGAATTTTCGCGTCGTCACTTCGATTATATTTAATTCATGGGGTATGGGTATGTGTGAGAAAGAGAGCTTGATGAAGAAATTGGAGTATAGTTATTTCGGTATACTTCTTTTTTTTTGTTAAGCGATTATTGGGCTGGCTAATTTGTGACATATTTCGGAATTTGTAATATTTCACATAAATGTGCATAAATATAATTTAAATAATGTTGTATATAATTCCAATAAGTTAGACATCATATTTTTTAATATCAGATTTATAATTAGAATAAAATTGAATGGATTCCATTAACAATAAAAAAACAAATGCAATAAATATTCGATTATGCAAAATTCTTTTACGAGGGAATGAATATTTTCGTTAGCTTGAGTTAATAATAATTTAAAAATGTAAATTTCCCCACATATATTTAAAATTTTTCTAATTTTGGATATTCTGTCAAAAGAAGATTGATCGTAAAAAGGGGTGTAATTCTTCAAGGACATGCGATACCCTACCTATTCACCCTTACGTCATGTTCGTATCAAATGAAAGGGAACTTACCTCGCGTGCTTGATCCTCGATACTTCGAAGTACAGCGAGATTGCGTATAGTTGCTCTACGTGATTCAAATGAAGATTCCAGTCTCGTTGCTGCGTTACCAACTTCCTCCATCAATCTTCTTGCTCGTTGTAGAGATAATCTATGAAAAAAACAAATTTTTTGATTGACGAATTATTAAGACTAGTTATGGAAAAATTTACCAATCCAATTCATTTTATTTTTTTTTTCTTAACTACTTATTGAATAATTTTAGGGTTGATAGATTTCTATAATACATAATAACAACAATTTTAAGTTGAATTTCAAATTATATTCATTTCGACACGGAAGTCGAACCATTAATTTGACTAATATCTAGTTACTTAGGGTGAAAAATTAAAAAAAAAAAAGAAAAGTATGTTGTTTTTGTGTAGTGTCCCTCGGTAAAGACTAGGCGTGACTAATCAACGTATTAACTTCCGGCTTTCTGACAGCATTTAAACACATACACCTTTCTAAGATAGTTAAAAGAGAGAAAATAAAATAGATCGTAACTTTAATTGGTCCGATAAAAAAGGTAAAGACGTTTCAAGTGAAATTGGAAAGCTCACTTGACATAATCGATGTGTAAAAGCGGTGTAGCACGTTCTTCCAAAGCTGCAATGGCTACTTCAGCGTCCCTAGACGTTCTTCTCAATGTTAGGTCCGTTAGGAGCCGACCGAGAGGCGTCAAGGTGCTGGACAAATTTGTGCATTCTTTTAATTCTGACATTTCCAGCGCTAATCTCCGCCCAGCTGCATGCCATTCGCTCATTAACCCATCGTATTCCTAAAAAGAACAAATATCATTTTAATTTAATCTTCCAATTAATCAAACCGAATGAAATATTCTCCATCTAATTAGGTCTTAATTATTATTTCGGATTTTCATTTCTTATTAAATAATATTTTTCACAATATATGATATTGAAATTGGACAAGTAATTATTGTAATATTATTTAATTGAAATTAGAGATATTATTATTAATTTTTATTATTTTACAAAAGTATCACAGAGAGTTAGATAATATTGTATTACAAATATTAATGTTTCCTAAGTATATGTTATCTTTAGTATAGTATAATTATACTAGTCTGAATTACTGTCTAAGTTTTATATTATTTTAGGAATAATTTTTATTTCTAATTCGAAACAAACTTGATTTATAAAGGGTAATTATTCTACTTAATAAGATATAATATTATTTCTATTATGTAAAACAGTGCTTTGCATAATATGTTTAAAAACAGGAAACCTGACAATTACACGATAACATCTACAAAATTGCTAAGTAGTCAAACGTAATTACTTATGTTTTTTGTCTTTAATCCTAACCACTTATTCTGTACTAAACTTATAGCATTTATATAATAATTTAAAATATAAAAAACAATACGAAAAACTAATATAGTTGAACTAATATTCATCCAAGATTGAGTACAAACGTAATTGAATCAGTAATGCATTTTATATTAAATATTTCAGATTATTTCTTAACAATAAATGAATAATTATTCAAAAATAGATACATAGTCATTGACACACTTATTAGGAATGTTAGACACAATCATACTGAATGAATGTTACGATTAAAAAAAAAATAAAACTAATCGCGTTTATTCATCGACATGGAATCCATGAAAACACTTACTTAACTTCCTTTATGTATCACACAACATGTTTTAACATTTTTATTCGTAGAAAACTATATCGGTAAGTTTGCGTCAAACGGTATCCATTCGTTGGTTGATCGTAACATTCAATGACTAAGCTTAATGAAACTGAGATAATCTAGGAACACGAACGCAATCGCATGAGTCGATAACAAAATTTTGAGTAGTCGATGACAGAGAAAGGAAGAACACCTAGGAGTTCTGTCAATCAATGATAGTTTTACAAGTTATTTCGATTGATGTCTTATTTCTGTTAAATTATTTGCCAGATTGATCGACGGTACGATCAAATCAGTGCCTTGGGCTATTTTATTCATTCAATTTCATTCGACTTGTTAAGCTAAGGTTCCATATTTGAAAGTCTTGATCGTGTTCGAATTATTTTCATAATTATTTTAATGTTCAATGTTTATTGCTTACAGATTTCGAATTAAATATTTCATTGATAACAATAACAAGTGTCCAAGAAATAATTTGCAATGCAGATTTTGATTTTGTTCGAAAAATCATGAAGAAATGAAACATATACGAGACTTACGATAAATTGAATTCTTTATAATGAAATTGAAGAAATAAAATACAATCAGTAGATAATACCCAAGGTGTATGTTTGAGAAATAGCTCAAGGAAAGTTAAGAGAAGAGTTAAATCTCTTTCTCTCTCTCTCTCTCTCTCTCTTCCTTTCTCGTGCTCTTACTTCTCGTCTTTTGTCGGCGGTACAAAAGATCAACGTAAAAGCGCTTACGCGATAATCCGTGCGCTGAAGACTCCTCGTAACCTTTAGGGTTAAATACTCGCTTCTGTCGGCGGGTGTGCGTAGTAAATTCTCGTTCCTCGAATTCTTCAAAACTCCTAGTTCGAAACGAACCTTTACTTTCCACTCGAATAATTTAACGCGAGTTTAAAGTGCCATTGGTATTATTTCTATCGATACTTTTTCGATTTTTATTCAATATTTCCTAACAAATTAAAATGATTTTTAATTGAAAGTATTTCAAATAATCGAACCTTTCATATACTTTAATGATTTAATGTTATATTAAATGTACCATTTAAAAAAAAAAAGAAAAAGTATTGAATAAATATTTCTCCAATTTATATCATTTATTTGAATTGAAATTGTTGAACGCAAATTTGGAATACAATTATTGCCGATAGTATTTGAGAGTCACTGTGAAGAATAGTAACATCGGTCAGTGCCATCGTCGCACCATAAATTCTCGGGACCATAATTGCGGGAGAACTCTCTGAGGGTATTCGAGTGGCGAACCGGCACAATTATTTCTCTCCTTCGAATCCGGCCCGCGTATTTATTTCATCGAAGCTGCCGAATCACTGTAATGACATTGAGTCAATCGGCAAACGGCAAACTACTCTCTCATCCGTCTGACAGAAGCGCCCGTTTTCATAGCAATTTGTCGCGACTTTCGAATTACTGAGATGAATGATGCGAATAAATATTTTATCTTTCATTTCTCGCTCTCTTTGGAATTTTCACGCATAATTTATCGACACTCCCTGTGTACGTTATATTTATTTATATTGCAATCGATCGAATTATCGATCTTTAATGATTAATTTCCGAACCATTCACGAGCTATACACAAATAACAATTTATTGTAAAAAAAAAAAATATAAATCGTCACGAAGTTTCTGCGCAACCCAATACTTTAAAAAATGTTCAAAGGTAGTAACGAAGAACATAAATAATGAAGGTAAACGATAATTACCTTGTAAAATGTAATCCACTGCGTTTGATCGTGATTCCTTTCGCGCCTTTCTCTTAGATATTTATTGATCGTCGTATCGTTTATTACAATCGTCTGAAATAAATTCATATTTATTAATATACGTATCACAGTGATAATAAAGAAAATATCATATTACCAATAGTAACGAATCATTTTCAATTAACATCGAACTCTTTTGTAGGATATTATTCGAGAAGTATGAAACGAATCAAATGTACGTCCAATTATATGAAATTCTCTTTTTGTCTAGCTGCACAATATCGATTCCCGTTTATATATATTCCACCAATACTACAAAGCAACAAAGGATACATCCTAGGGAATTAAAAGAGAGAATGAAAAGTAAATTCTTGTCAATAGGTCGTACCAATGTTGTTTCATACGACAAATAGAAGAAAAGTATTAGTATAAGTTTATGCTCGACGAACCAAAAATTTAAATTTTCGTTTAAGGAAAAAATTGAAATCTTTTTCAACAAATTTAATTGAATATCAACTTACTTTGACACGACTAAGAGGTAACATGGAGTCGTTCGCTGAGTTTTCTGTATTACTTCGTAAGATGAATGCTTGACTCACATTGATTCTTCCCTATAATAATTAATACATTGTAATATATTTTCTAATCACAAAATTAGCATAATAATTGTGCACAATCTTACTTGTAAAAGAAACAATGCTTTATCCAGAAGATCCAAACATTCCATAGATTCACCACGAACGAGTAAACTCAATCCATCTTTCGTGTGTTCTGAACTGTAATGAAAATATTTCAGATCATGAATAGTTATAATCGTGAAAGGGGAATGAATTAAAATTAAACATACTGTAGTACATTAGAACGCGTATAATGCCAATAACAAAAAATCCTTTCATTCGATCCGTTTCTCTCATACTTAAGAGAGACCCTAACTAAGTAAGTACATATTCAAAGTTTCTCACGAGGCTCTTGTAGCACCCTCGTTTCTCGTCACCCCTCCTCCCTGTCTGGAGTTCGTTTGGTTGGTAATAGCAATCATACTTCTGCACCGTAGTGCAATAGTATTCGTCCTTATTGCATACTTGTGCCAAGTCAATTCACAGAATTGCTTATGACCGATTTAATTCATCTATCGGAACGGCAGGAAACGAAATACACGTGTATATATATATATATTTAAGAGATATGTATGCATAAATATTATGTGTGTATAAATATTGAAACATACACGGATATATTAACACAGTTATACTTATGTCGTACCTTTACACCTTCCTACTTTCAATTCTATCAAAGATCGCATTTCTAATTCTATCTCGATAGAGTCGCCACTATACTTTTCTATACGAGCTGATCTTTTAGATAAGAAACGATTCTTTTATTTGTAAGATTTATATACAGATATATATACGTGCGTAACACTCAACACGTTTCATTATTTCTCAGTGATATAATTACTTTAGTGTTCCTTACACATCGTCCTAGTTTGGAATCGGTTCTCAACGGTCTCTCTTTTTACTCAAGTGTCCGTCATTATTCGATGTCCGACATACATACTACGTTTACGACTACACCTTTGCTTGATCTTTCTAACTTTCGAAGGAATAATAAATAAAGTAAAAACTATCATAATTTTCCATACTAACCCATTTGCACATCGTGTTTCACATTAACATTTAAATCGAATAAAAAAGATTATATATTGGAAGGTACCCTCAAATTTTGATTACTGTTAGAATCACTTGAATTATTTCTTTCTATTTTTGGATTCTGGCCAAGAATTCGATAGATCCGGAATGGGAAACAACAAACTCACGACTTTGACACACTGCCAAGAATAATTCAAGTAGAACGATCATATTAGATAAGGGAATCACTTAGATTTAGTAAAGTTAAGTTTTCATCTAGCTGTGTATGTATATGTCTAGTATAATTTAATAAGAATAGCCTTCGGGACATCGTGCGCATCAGTGTACCATTGATCATTACAACGGATCGATAGAGAGAAACAGAAAGATCGATAAGAATCCAAATTGATCGTCTCCGTGTATCGATCGCCGTTAGAAATCTATGGTTGACGCTTTATTAAATTCAAAGTCGTGCGCAAAGCTTACGATGAAAGAGCGCCGAGCAAGGCTCTAATCTTCGGAATCGTTGGAAAATCATTTTAACGTGTATAGTAGTATGAATACCGTAACTCGTTATCGCCTGTTGCTATCGCACGAGGAAATATTTCTACGCTCGTTCAAACTGGTACGTAATCTTTTTTTATTTTTCTTCTTTTTCTTTTTCTTCTTTCCGAAGTTGGAGGGTTTACTCGTACAAGATGCACGTTATTTGTATATGTTACTACTAAAGCAATAAATTCATGAATATGAAGAAGTTTCACGAGATATAGATTATAAGCAGAGATACAAAAAAGAAAAAAAGAAACTAGCCTTCTCTCATCCTTCAATCACTTGATTAAAATTTGATTTTAATATACTACTGATTAATTAGGAAACACACACAAATGAATATTAAGTAGTATATTCTATGTTAGAAAAATAAATTTAAGAAAAAGAAAAATAAATTTGCAATGGTATATAAATACCATGCATCTGTGTTATATACAATAGAAACGTATATGTAAATACGTATTGGTAAGGAGCGTTTACGAGCAAACGGATTTACAATTCGATCGTAACTGTCGGCATTGGCATAACGCCTTTGGCTACGCCACTGCCCACTCTTGAAGAAACTCCATGCATTAGCACTATTGTAAAGCTAGAAGATGTCTTGGAAAAAGCGCAACGCACGCATTCGGTATCGCAAAGATCCATCGTGTGTATCGTTGCGTTCCGCATTGTACCGCACCGCGGCTAGGAACGGGAGATCATTCGAAAACCGCGGACGCATCTTGGGTGGGCAGGATTTCTCGAACAAAGACCCCTTCTGCGTCACAAGAGACCGCGTCTTTCGTTCGCTTGCTGTTCTTTTACACGATTCTACCAAGAAGTTCAATCATCCTTCTTTTCCGATTCAATAGAAATCCAAAACAAGTTCCGCATTTTTATTCGAGTCTGTTACGTGTTTTCTATTTTAACATTTTTCTTCTACGATTCAATGATTCAATTTATCTTTCATTTATCGACCACGTTTATGAGTTAACAAACCAAAGTGCAATCATATTCATTTTTGATGAATTTCTCAGTCTGTAGGTGAATTTCGAAGAGGATGGTGCTCCGAACGTATACTCTGTGCTTTTAGACAACAATAGACGTTTCCTTCGATTAATTAACAATTATTTTAATACACTCTACTTATATTATTTTGTATTATCATATTCATATTGTATTATTATTATCTAAAGGATTTGAAGCAACCTTTTCTTTCACTTGTGTTAATTACTTACAAAATTAGTTCAAATGGATTGAAAAATACTGAGAGTAGAATTTCGAATGGTCAAATTATCTAAGACAACATAGTTAAGTACTAGAAAGTCACTAACATAAGGCGTTGCGCCTTTACAGGTGAGAAGATCGTGTGAACCGCTACTAAAAAGGGAGAGACCTATATTCTTAATAACGTTCTAACCACTCTAATAGCTCTCTAATGACAACATAAAGACAGGTGATATTTAAAGTCTCTTACGTTTTGCTGTAACAATGTTAATAGTTCTTACTTCAAGGACGAATTGAAGAAAAACTTTAGCAAATTGAGACATTTCTTTCCCTCTCTCTCTCTCTCTCTCTCTCTCTCTCTCTCTCTCTCTCTCTCTCTCGTTCCCCCCTTTCTCTTTTGAAAGATAATTGAAGTATAAAACGAAATAAATATACTTTGAACACGAGCCCCTACAAATTGCTGGAAAATTAAGATCAAAGGAATGAAGTAATAAATAATATCGCAAAAGAAAAAGAACCATCGTCAAAAAAGATTGAAATATGTGGAAAGAGAGAGAGAGAGAGAGAGAGAGAGAGAAGTGAAAAGAAGAGTAAAAAAAAAAGAAAAAAAGAAATAAGAAATAAAGAAGATACGATCATGAAAGTGGGTCGACAAATTGCAACGAGCGAAGAGAAAAGTTAAAAAAGGAGTACAAGGGAGATGGAGGGTGGCGAGAGGGAGAAAGGGGGAAAGAAAGAAAGAGGAGAAGGGAGTAGTAGTAAGCAATGATGATGATTCGAAAAGAGGGTGGTTCGAAGGCAAAGAAATAAAAAGAAAGAAAAAAAAAAAAAGATACGGAAGGACGAAAGAATAAAAGTTTACCGGATGCCGGAGGCTGAACCTTGGTAGAAGGGTAAAAGGATTGATGCACGGCCATAACTCACGAAGAAGAAACGCGGTCAGGTGCACAACTGGATCACCACCGAGAGATTCAACAACCTGGACCTATCGTCCTACCATCTTCTCCGAGAGTAGTAACGTCGTGACTCCTTCTCGCGTGATACACGATACATGACGAGGAGGCATGCCTCTTTCTCTCATAGAAGATGCAAACTTTATCGTTTAGGCTCGTGGTTAAGTTCAGAAACTGTTAATTATTTCACCCAAGGAAGAAGAGAGTGATTAAAGAACGATGAGAACACGATAGAAAAGGTAGACCAGTTTAACCGAGGAATACAATTTTCTTTTCGCGAATTATATTCATTAGCTTAAAAAATTACTTAGTGTCGAAAAGAATTTTTTTACAAGAATTTAATTATTGTATATGATAGAGATACTACGTTATATTAAATATTTTTTATATCATACATTAGGTAGTCCAAAATTATAAAGTTTTTTGAAACAAATATTTTAATCTTCGAATAAAAGAGAGGTATATTATTGAAAAAAAATTCCAGTATAGCGTATTGGCCAATTAAACGTTGCATTATACGGTACTGATTAGCTCAATATTTTGCAATAGTAAAATTCTTGAAATATATTGATACTTCTTCTACATATTCATGCAACTTATACAATCAATTTCGAAGAAGACTAGAATTCTCAGCAAATATGGAAGACACTAATGAATCAGTGACCTAGCATGTGAGGAATTCTTGAGAGAGAGAAGAAAAAGAATTAACGATCGGTTCTTAGAAGTCGGCTGCTAACAGCTAAATAAATAATTCGAATTACTCGCCTACTATTTGCAAGTAATCCTCCACTGATAGAATACTTTCCCGTATCTCGTATACACGAGTTATCGAATAGAAAAAAAAGTAACAAAAATTCGAATGAATCTTACTAAGCCCAAGTATACCGTGAGAGTTAGACTGATTTATAGCGATCGTGTTCCGCTGAGAGGATCATTATGACACTGTTAGCTTTCGTCGCTGGATTCCTGGTATCACATAGGGTGATATTCAGTATGCGTGCATATCTCTCTGCATCTACTTGCTTGTGTATGTATCAGAAAAAGGAGACAAGCTTAAACCATTCTTTTTCTTTCTCTTTTTCTCTCTTTTTTGTTTTTTTTTTTCGTGCGTGTCCTCTCACAGTGAAAATGTTCATAAAAGATAGGAGTCACGAGCGACAAATCATTCGTTATCTTTACCAACGATAATCCGCCGACGCTAATGCGATTCCACAAGATAAGGATGGATCTTTGGGCGAGATAAAACTCAAGTTTTCTACATATGTAGGTATAAACATTATTTTACGAGTTATCTAAATTGAAAGTGAGACCCCATGAGGACGATGCCGGCACTCACTTTGATGCAAACCGAGAAACCTTTTGAGAAATTAATAGAAAAGATTTGAACCCTTTACTAACATAAATCTAAAGGATACATTCCCCCGCGTCAGGTTATATACGAGACAGCTCGTGTAAATTAAATAAGAGGACACGAATAAATAAACAATAACTCCGGGGCGCGTACCGATCTATTTTACTTTAACTTTAACTTCGTGAGAAGGGGTTGAGCGGTTTCCTTTAAAAGGTCACCCACACGTTAGCTCGGAAATGCACGAATGCAAGGAGAGAAAAGCTTTAGGCGAATCAAGATTTACGTTTTTCCTTCTCGCTCCTTCTTCGTGAGCCGATAAAACTGAAAACGGTTATATTCCTTAGGTTGTATACCTAGAAGAACCCCGACTGACTAGCTTAACGCCGCGAACATGTTGCAACGTAAGATGGAATCGGTGGAAAATTTTCATCGTCATTTTTTTTCTCTTCTTTCTTTTTTTCTCTTCGCCAAAATCATTTTTCTCCCCGTTTTTTTCTCTCTCTCATTTGCGGTTGTTTTTCTTCATTCCTTTTTCCTTGAAGTTAAGCATAGAAGAATCGTTGACGCGGAAACGACTTTATGCTGAAGATGACGAAAGATAGAGCGACGTTTCTTATGGTGAACGCCCGGAGCTACACATAACGCTATCTCTCTTACTTTTTCCATTCAACTTCTTCGTTCCACTCCTCTTCGGTGTGTTCATCCTTCTCTATATTATTTCTTTTTCTATTCACCTTCATCGTTCCCTTCTCGACTTCTCCTATCTATCTTTTTCTCTCTTCAACTCTTTCTATCTGTGCTTCTCTCGCTCGCTCGCTCGCTCACTCACTCACCGTGTATCCTTCTCTTTCTTATGGTTCGACATGAAGAATCATGGGACTAGCGCATAGGAGAAACCATAAAGCCGTGCGATGAATGATATCGCAATAGGCTGTCGTGCTTATCATACGCGATATATTTTATGAGTCGAAGCTTATGCGAGCTATGGCTGTGAGAGAGCATCGACGAGATGACGCTGAGAGTTTGCTCGCGTACACGTAATTTTCGGATTTACGAGCGATTTTCAACCTTAACCAGAGACTACTTTCCGTTTATTTCGTTTTATAGATGAGTTACGACTCGAAAATGAGTTTCACTATAATAAACGTTATATGTATACATATAGATATAGCGGAAGTTGACTGTTCCTTTCATTCTTTAAATGATTATTCTTATAATACACAATACTTTCTCCCCGTAAGAATAAAATTCTATTTGAAATATTATATATAGGAAATTTGTAACTTTTTTTACCTGGGCAAACGGGCGAGGTAGAGCAAAAAAGATGAAATTTCTTTGACGGTGAGGTTTTCCCTCTTTGTTGTGTCCTCAAATTCGAGAACCGGTCTTCCTGCTGTGTCCGTATATCCTGAAACAAATTATCATCGTATTATTACTTATATATAATAAGACTTGTTTTACGGTATATATAAAAAGAAAAAAAAAAGCATTTAACAGTGTTATTTGTTGCATTGTTTCTTATAATAGATGCACATGGCGCATATGACTTACGAGAAAAACTACAGTTTTGAATTAAATTGAATTTGAATTATATTATATAAAAAACAAAATAATTGTTTGTAGTATGTACTCTAATTAATAGTTGAGAGACAGAAGTAGAATCGTTACAATATAATATTTTACTCAGTCGTTCAAGATAACATTAAGAAATGCTTCTAGGTACGTCCATTATCGAAATATGTATATACGTTAGCAGAGAATACTCAGGGTTGTAATAAATCGTACTCTTTAAACGCGAGTAAATTCCGTAACGAGTAGACCGGTAATAATAATACTTGCATGGCATAACAGCTAAAAGGAGACTATCAAAGGACGATAAAGTTATCTAAAGTCATTCAGTGCAACGATACATATTTAACTCGATTGTAGGTATAATAAATGTTATAAGAAAATATAAAAAGAGGTAAGGAAACAAAAAAGAAAAAAGAAAAAAAAAAAGAAATAAAAAAGCAAAGAAGGAAGAAAAAGTAATCGTGTTTTGTGACACGTTTGTGAGATTACGCGTTAGAGAATGCAACTAACAGGGCGCCGAGATATATACATATATACATACATATATATATGTATACATTCTCGAAGAAGAATATTACGAAACTCCTTTCTGGAATCATCTTCTATACTCTTCTTAGCTTTAATGATAATTCATTGCGGCGTTAAGTTATCTGGACGATTACCCTGTAACGTGATAATAATGTTCAGCGCCGGTGGCGGGCAAAACCTTCCTCGCGTGCGCCTTATAACGCCTTACGATTCCAAGCCTACAAAGATGCAATGTTAATGACACCCGGTGTATTCTAAAGCTACTATCGCGAATACGAATTCTTCTTTACCACCCCGATCTCTTACAAATTAACCTTACCGTTTCTTACAACCGTGCTACGTTTAATGCGTTTCTATTTTAAATTTAATCCAAGGGATTAATATACGTGGCCGTAATTTATTACGTAACAAATATAAATATCTTTTCCTTTTTCTTCGTGTATATAATAATTAACATTATTATATTTATGTTAATTCTATTATTTTTATGTTGTTTCACATGATTATTAGAAAAAATGGAACCGACTTTTTAATAATAATATAAAAACTAATAATCCCTCCTTCCTTTCTTTTTAATCCTTAACGCTAATGCATTTTTATTATCAAATTTAAAATGTATAGGTATAAAATAGAAAGAGTAATCGTGTCTCATATAATTTTATGAGAAAATGCATAAAAACGTAGTAACTTTTGGCAAACGATTCAGCCGGTTTGTATTGTAAAATATATTCTTTTGTTTGAATGTGTGTGATACTTGAGAAACGTGACGCTGTTTCCGACGTTATTCTTTACGATGGACTCTAAGGTATTACGGGAAACATACAATTACGACACGTTTAGCCACTAATTCGACGGCGTACCTATCGAAGGAACAAGAAGATAAAGAAGAAGAAGAAGCAGAAAAAGAAGAAGAAGAAGATGAGGAGGCTTTGCTCGTTTTGCTAATAACGCAGAAGAATAGCTTACGATCGTGGCACGAATCTTTTGCTCGTTCATCATCCTCTCTCTCTTTCTCTCTTTCATTCTCACTTTTTGTTTATTTCATTCTTCCTTTGGATAAAAAGAAAACCGAAACGAAACAAGCATTTAACGTAAATCAAACATACTTGAATGTGTTTTATATACCCGAACGAGAAACTGTTCATTCATTCGAGTAAATTAATCACACGGCTTGGTATTATTATTTTATTGGAACACAATAGTTATTCATTTATTTCTCGTAAAAATGAATATATCAATCGTGCACGAGATTTGTCGCGTTTTTTTATTATGATTTTTCGAGGGAAGGGCTAATTAATATGATAGATATATATTAATAATTTTATTTTATTTTTTTTTTTTTTTCATTACGAATTTATCAACGAGAATAAAAACGCAACGAATAATTCTTGATTTTAGAATTAGAATGATTTTTTGTCCTCCCTCCCACCCCGTTTAGTATAGAATCAATCGTATAATATGAAATAAATAAAGAATCGAAAAGTATAAGTATGTGTAAGATGAATAAGATTAGAATTAGCCTGAAGCAGATACGATAGTCCCATCCTCGTGTTGAATTCGTGAGAAAGATGAACGATAGTCGGATGGATACGTCAATATGCGTGCCATTAGCCGTGGCTATTCGAATTTATCGCATGACACTACCCCGTAAATCCGTGATTTCTAATTACACGCTTGTGATCGTTCGCCTTTCTCCCTTTCTCTCTCTATCTCTCTTTCTTTCTTTTTCTCTCTCCCTGTCTCTCTTATTTCCTACATTGATGTAGTTGCCATCAGTTCTTCTACTTAAGCTTCTATTTATTATGACTATTGAAGCTGTTGGTTCCGATCGATTTCTATTAAAATGAAAACGACGATGGGATCATCTAACAGAAATAAATAAATAAATAAAATTAAGAAAAAAAATCAAATGAAATAAAGAAAGAAAGAAAGAGATAGAAAAGAAGCAAGAGGAAAAGAAAGTACCGTGAAGCGTGTAATTCACAGTCGACAGTCCGTGAATTATTATCGGCCAGTTTACCGCGTCAGGTTTTAACAGGGAGATCAAAAGAATGAGCAATGCCAAGGCTAGGATTCTCTCTCTTTCTCTCTCTCTTTATAATGACGTCTTTTCCGAGCACCTAATCGCTTAATCGTTTGCTCCATCCTTTTCCTTTTTTCCTCCCTTCATTCCTTCCTTCTTTCCATCACTTCTTCGTGATTTCGCGATTGGATAATTGAAGTTTCCGTAACCGATTACGTCTCACGTCCAAATTAACAATCATATCTTTTCCCAATTGGATATGTTTCTGTCATAAAATATTACAATGTTTAATTAATCGTTTTCAATATGTAAGATATCACGTTTTACACGATGTAAACATGTCATGATCATCCTACGATTACATCCCCCTTTATTTTTTTTTTTACCCTGTTGTTTCTCGTGCTCGTAGTAGTGGTCGTTGTTTGGAAATTCTTGTGAAGTACTTATTTACGTACACGTGCGTTTATAGTAAAGAAGAGGAAGAGAAAAAGAGAGAGAGAGAGAGAGAGAGGGATAAAGAAAGACAAGTTGTCTTTACGTGCGTGGTAATGTGGGAAAAAGTTTCACCTCTATTAACCTTGAATCTTTCACCTTTCGACAGGCTATCGACTTCTGCATACCGCTCGTCGATCATACGCGATATATGTTCCAGCTCTTCCTTTCTCGAGTGCCGGTAGAATACTGCGTATATATATAAATATATATATACATATACATACGTAGAGCTATATTCCGATCCTTGACCCTACACTCGCACATTGGGTATAGTTATAGGTATATTTCCAAATGGAATATTGGTTATATCTAATAAATGCGTATACCTCATCAAATAAATATATATATATGTGTGTGTATATATGCATACTTATATTATTGGGTTAGTAATAGCCTAATAAAAGTAGACTACATTTTGATAACAGTTCATGTTATGAATTACAAATCGTAATGAACATTTTTTTGTACGCGAATGTCAAGTTTGACTGTTCAAATTGAATATTACAAATTTTTATAGATTAATCTTTTCATTTTAATCAGAAAAATATATCGATTGATTTAATAATGATAATAATAAAAAAGAAATATGTGGTCTTTTTTAATCGCGTGTAAATTCATGATGAAATTTTGTATGAAACGATAAAAATTGATTTAATCGTTTTAGCCTATGAACATAGCATACGTATATACTTACACATATATATATATACATATATAGACACGATGCATATATCGGGATTGTAAAATGACGTTAAAGCCACGCCCCTCCTTTATCTTCCCATCGTGACCGTTATTGAGAATCTATGGGAGAGATCGCGGGGCCAATTAGTAGGCGGCGGGATGGATCGTCCGTTAGAAGTGCGCTACCGAATGGTCCATTAGCCGCCTTAGAAGACGATCGAATTCACTCTAACATCGAATTTAATATATTACAATACCTTTTCTATATCACCGTTAAGGTTAGTTCGCCTAATCACGAAATTCATCGATGCTACACATTGTTTCCCTACACCCATTTCACGAGATCATACTTTCTAAATTCTAATTCACCCTTTAAATCGTATCTAATTATCCACCTTTTTATTCTCTTTTTTTTTGTTAACATATATATATATATAGGATGATTCGTTGATCAGTTATTTGGGGATTTTATTTGTGAACTAGTGTCGATTATAAAATATATGTATATGTGTGTGAACGTATGTTCCATTTTGAACAGTATCCATCTATTAAATTTATTTACTTGATTGCGAATATATATCGTGTCATGAAAAGTGGCACGTGAAAGAGTTTATTTCAACGTATTGCTAGTTTTTTGAGTTCTTTTTTTAACGATTTTTATACCAGGTTTATTTTTATTTAGTACCATAGAGTGCTGTGATAGTGCATTGCGATGATTCATTAATTAGTTGCACGAATCTTTTTATTTACGGAATTTTTTTCTGAATCACCCTATGTATGAAGGTATTGAATTAACGATATTAATCTTCTAATCGATTTCATAGTGAAAGGAAAATTTTCATTTATGCCACACTGATGCAATTTGAAGTAAACGGAAGCGTTTGCATTAAGTATTATCCTGTCTACTTATAAATCAGAAATTATGTTTGATTTATATACGCCGTGCATAATAATATCATTTCTTGCGTATACTATTTGTAGATATTAATTCTAATAGTTTTTCTGCGTTTAATTTGAATAATAAAAATCTAAATAATTTGTTCAAACATTGACAAATATTGTTTCTCATTCTAATGGAAAGAAGAAAAAGAAAAATAAGTAACAAAAAG